TACGACTAATAGCCTGGTCAAATTAGACAAGCAAGGTTACAAAAACTCGCATACAGCTGAAAATTGGTACAAACGTTCGGAACATTATAATAAATAAAATGTCCCCATCGATCCCACCTTGCAATTTTTTTATTTTACGGTATTTTAATTTTTTTTATTCAAACGTTAAGTTTTATTATAAAATTTAGTTACAAAAAATTTTAGATCATGCAATTATCTATAAAAATTATCTTAAAACTTTTTTTCCTAAGAGTCACCGTTTCTGAGTTATGACGATTCAAAAAGTTGAAAAAGTTGTGTTAAAGATTATTTTTGAGACCTATTTGTATTAATTTGTACATCTGAATAGAATGTATTTCGAGTTTTTTTTAAATATGGTATAAGGGTGACAAACGAGCACACAGTCCACCTGATGGTAAGTGGATAATGTGGCCCATTGACATCTCCTTTTATCCTCGATTAACAATCAAAATGCAGATGCGTTATCACATCTGAGGACTAAGATGGAATGCATTCTTTACACTAAAAAGGGTCTCCGGTTATCTACACTCATCATACGAAACACAGCAGGCTTAAGCTGCTATTTTACGCTGGTATTCTGTGAGAGCATGGTCCTAACTCCGGTCATTTGTGCTACAACCATAATATAGTTGCAGCGTGGTTCTACCACGTATATAAGTATATTTTATTGTTAACGAAAGCTATATAAACCGTAGGGGAAAGGACGATGTTACCTTTGATTCCGTTTAATAACGTTTCCGAGCCCTATATTCTGTATCTTAATTTAAAAAACTATCAATATCTAAGGCGTTATTGTGCGGAAATCTTTTAGATTGAAGATGTCGGGAATTAGTTAGCTAAGATTCGCGTAATAAAATAAACTGAAGTGACTTACCTTTGAAAAGCACCTCCCGGCCTCCTTTTATTGTGTGCAGTACTCGCGTCACCACTAATCACAGGACCGCTACTCCCCACAATTCTACACTCGGAAAGACACACCACCGACGATAATACGACACGTGTATCGCCTCTACACGAGGCATCCTCATGTGAAGTAGACTATGCGGTGGCTGACCGCTTAGATTATCATGCTTCCTTGTGTAATGGTATTGGGTGTTCAGCTGTGTGTTGTACATCAAGAACAACAAAAGGAGGAGTAAAAGATCCGGTATTTTTATTAAAGTGAAAACATCTTTAGAATCGTTGTGATTTGAAACTCGATGAAACGAAAAAGCGACAAATAAACTCTATACTATTTGACCTGCAAGAGAAGATAGAATACGGTGTAGAACGCGAACTCAAAAGGTTGTGGGTTAGAAGCCGCTATTCGACCACTGTCTTTTTTGTCATTGTAATTGCGACATTTTTTTAACTAGAACAGCACAAATTCGGTTAGAAAATATTAACAATTAACACGTGTTTTCCCCGTGTAGTTGCGGGTAAGAATACTCACTACCCGATATCTTCCCAAGGGTATCGTAAGAGGCGACAGAGGGAAACTGAGGCAGAGGATGTGCAGCAGCATCTTTCTGATAACAGCAAAAAACCAATAAAAAAACTGCGGTTGCCAACCTGCTCGCCAAGCGTGGCAACTATGCAATATACCCCTCATGAAAATAACGAAGAGACGGCCCACAGTCCCCGGTGGCCCCGCTATTCCTGGCTACGATGGCGACCATGGTAACGGCGGGGCAGGGGAGGGGCTGCTAAGAATCTCCAGTGGAGGTTCGGTTGCACCTACGACGACTCGACCTGGCTACTTATAAAGCACGCACCCTGAGGACTGACGAGAAGATCCTGGATCTGGAAGAAGAGATAGACAAGTTGCGCTGGAATATCATAGGATTATCCGAGGTCCGAAGAGAAGGGGAGGACACGGTAATCCTCGAATCCGGCAACTTGTTCTATCATCAGGAGGGTGACCATCTGTCCCGAGGAGGTGTCGGATTTATCGTCCACAAGTCTCTCGTTAACAACGTTGTAAAGATTGGGAGTGTGTCGACGTTGTTGTTGTGTGGGTTACGTACCTTATACTCAGAATCACCAAACGGTATTCGCTGTCATACAGGTTTACGCACCAACTTCGGCAGCAGGAGGTGGAGGAAATGTATGAGGATATCTCTAGAGCCATGCATTCCTCCAAAACCCACTATACGGTGTTAATGGGAGACTTCAACGCAAAACTAGGTACAAGAGAAAACGGTGAGCTGAAAGTAAGGAAATTCGGAATAGGGCAACGGAACCCAAGGGGCCAGCAGCTGGCCGACTTCATGGAGAAAGAGGGACTCTTTATGATGAACTCTTTCTTCCAGAAGCGGCCCCACAGGAAGTGGACCTGGTCGAGCCCCAACGGTTCGACAAAAAATGAGATTGACTTCATTATGACGACCAGACGACAACTGTTCAGTGATGTCTCAGTGATCGCGAGGGTGAAAACCGGCAGCGATCACCGAATGGTTAGAGGCACACTGAACCTAAACGTTAAGTTGGAGAGGTCTCGTCTAATGAACTCAACGCTCCGTCCCCCTCATGCTCTAATCCAAAGTCCCGAAACCTTTCAGCTCGAGCTACGAAACCGTTTTCAGTGCCTAGAAGATTGCAAAGCAGTGGACGATATGAATGACAAGCTCGTGGAAACTGTCCATGCGGTCGGAGCTAAGTTTTGCAAGACCCGCCGCAGAAGAACACAAAAACTCTCTGATCACATTTTTAATCTCATGGCTGTTAGACGGGATATGAAGCTGCAGTCTTCAGTCTTCAGTAGATTTGACAGCATACAGGCAACTGAACAGTCAGATCTCCAGATGCATGCGGCGGGACTTACGCAACTTTAATACTGGTCGTATTGAAGAAGCGATTGAGCGGAACCAGGGCTCCAAAGTCTTTGCTAGAGATCTGTCTGCCAGAAAGAGCCAACTGTCGAAGCTGAAGCCGAGCCGAGTATGGCAGCGTCGTCTCCGGGACACCTGAGATTTTGAGTGAGATTGAGAGGTTCTATGGGCAGCTGTACACATCATCGTTGAAGCCACACGCAAGTGTAAGTAACGATCCAAGAGCGAGTCTTATCCGACACTATTCCGATGATATCCCGGACGCTAGTCTGAGCGAGATTAGAATGGCTCTCCAGCACCTTAAAAACGGCAAGGCCCTAGGCGAGGATAGAATTACAGCGGAGCTTCTGAAAGCGGGTGGAAAACCGGTACTTGAAGTCCTTCAGAAGCTCTTTAATTCCGTCCTCCTTGGTGGCATTACACTAGAGGCGTGGAGCAGAAGTGCGGTGCTCTTGTTCTTCATTAAAGGTGACTACGCTCTCTTGAAGAACTACAGACCGATTTCCTTTCTGAGCCGCGTCTACGTGCTGTTTTCGAAAGTCATTACGAATCGTCTCGCGTGCAGACTTGACGTTTCCAGCCTTCCGAACAAGTCGGTTTCCGAAAAGGCTTTAGCACCATAGACCACATACATACCCTTCGGCAAATTGTACAGAAGTCCGAGGAGTACAATTTGCCACTATGTCTGGCGTAAGTGGACTGTGAGAAAGCCTTTGATTCCGTCAAAATTTGGGCGGTGCTGCAGTGCTTGTACAGTAGGGCTACGATGGCTATCCGAGTACAGAACCAGAGTACGAAACCTATCCAATTGCAGAGAGGTGTAAAACAGGGTGACGTTATATCCCCGAAACTCTTCACCGCTGCATTGGAAGACGTTTTCAAGCTTCTGGACTGGAAAGGAACAATCAATAACATCAATGGCGAGTACATCACTCGCCTTCGATTTGCCGACGATATAGTCCTTATGGCAGAATAGACGAAGTGTTGGGCGTCCCCCCAATAGATGGAGTGACGACCTGGTAAGATATGCAGGAAGTCGATGTATGCAGGTGGCTCGGGAAAGTGTTTTGTGGCATACCTTGGGGGAGGCCTATGTTCAGCAGTGGACTTATGAAAGGCTGTAATGATGAATATGAAATCAGCCATTCCTTGCGCAGACGCAGACGCTTTTTGTGTCCAGTTGCATCTACTTTACACATACCGACCGCCAATCCAAAAGTGTTCGGTGTAGGTAACTCGGAACTTTAAGTAGTCAGTTGAAGACACAAGCAACATAAAGCAAATTTCCTTACGATTGTACAGCGCTGACATTGACGTAGTTGATTTGCCTGTAAATATTGACGGCGACGACGTCTGTGTTAATGTGTTATCAACACAACAAGCAAACGTAATGTTCCTCCATCGACATCCAAGGTCAAACTGACTGAAAACAAGCAACGAATTGTTACCAGTGTCCAGAAGTAGCAACCGGCGACTGTGTCTGATTGCCGCTACCGGACACAACAACTTTGGTTTCATGTGATGTGTGCCGTGTTGGTATCAAAAGAGTCCATATTTACGCAGCGCTTATGGCTTGTATCAAGCGCACTTTCAGAACACAATTAATGTCAGTAATACAGCTTCCAACAATACTCATCATAAATTATTTGTTATTAAGTTAGAAAGGCTTAAGGTAGAAAGAATGTCTATGATATTCGAAGAACCTCCTCAAATAAGAATCTGTCCCCCTTAGTTCCTGAATACTTTCCGGGTTCGAAAAGTGGTTCTTTAAAAGGCTGGACTTCTCTTGCGCTAATGCAAGTCTATGAACTTTAAGCGGTTATTTTATTATTGTAATACATCGATTAGTGATCGATGTTATAATAAGTACAATTTTGCTTACATGTGAAATTTGTTCTATAGTTTTAACAATCCCTTGCCTTATGCACTGCAATTTACTATTTTTTGGAAGAAATATCATTGTTAAAGTACATTTAAAGTAAAAAAATGAAAATATCTTTACATAGTTTTTTGAAATTTTATAAACAAATATATGTTTATGGCTTTTCATATGATTTACGAACGCAATAACGAAAGTCTGTCCGCGTAAGTTCAAATCAACAAATCATTGCTCTATGGCTTTAGTTCACTAATGGCGTGTCTTCCGGTATCACACGCAATAACGTCAAAATGGCAAAGAAAAAAGCTGACGAAAAAGTGAATCAAACTGCTCAAAGTGATAATGAAGAGCAAAATTTTGACGAAGAGCCTGATTTCGATGATCCGGAAGGATATGTTGATGATATTCCCGACGAAGGTTTGTGTTTTAAACTTTTAGAGGTTGTTCTGGCCATATGCGTTGTCTACTTTGCTTAATGTTAAAATGTTTAATGTTTTTACTATTAAATGGTTATAAATGCTCTAAGTTGATATTTTTTATATCTTATAAAATTAACTACCAAACTTCTGCATTCATTACATCAAAGTCCATGATAGCTTAGCACATAACCTAACTTTGACGTTGCAGAATTGTTGGCGGATCTTTTAGAGAAAAAACCCAAAGAATCTGATGGGTATGAAAATGTGATCGTAGTCGATGGATGCCCGCAGGTCGGGCCTGAACGTCTGGAAAAGTTACAGAGCGTTATAAACAAGATATTCGGAAAATTTGGAAAGATCGTAAGCGATTTCTATCCAACAAACGAGAATGGAACAACTACGGGCTACATTTTCCTTGAGTATGATAACCCACAAAATGCTGCCGAGGCTGTGAAAGCCACTAATAATTGTAAATTAGATAAACAGCACACATTTTTAGTGAATCTTTTCACCGATTTTAAGAAGTAAGTATTTATATTATTTATTCACTCCCAACTTGTAATTAAAATTTTGCTTAATAAATACAAATTGTGAACATAATGTGATAAAAAATAACTGCTATTTATGTTCTATTCCCTTAATATAAATTTTCTATTCTGTTGTCTTATTACAAATTTATTAATTATATAATTTGCTTAATACAAGTATAGTTAACTTAGTTCAATGCTCTTTTAATTATAATGTTAACATGGTTTTTTAGATTTGTGTGATTTTTTATTCACATCATATTGCTGTAAAGCTATATAGTTTTATGGTTAAGGCTGCAGCCTTCATAATAATGGCTTTCAGAATTTAGTATTTAAAGACATTAATCTTTTTAGTTTTAATAATTACATATATTTGTAATATAACCCTAATCCTTTTGGTAGTGTTCAAGTTGGCTAATTAATATTCTTTTTAAAGTAGTATAACCTACTGTGTGAGAGGGTCAAGACTAAATTAAATATACATTTTAATGCTTTGATATTATTGTCTCTAAGGTTATTTAACAGAATTAGAGTAAATAAATGTTATGGTAAAACCAAAATATACTTACAAAACTAAGAGAATAGAGCTAATACTATTATGCACACTTAGTTTTGTTGTAATCCTTAAAATCTGTGTTTTCTTATTTTTATAGAATAAAGGTGAATAGGTGGAATAGATGCTGTGGCCCATAGATATCTACATTTATCATAGATTTAGAATCAAAATGCAGATGTGTTGTCACCCCTAAAGACTAATATGGAATGCCTCGTTTCCAGTAAACAGGGTCTCCGGTTCTTTATACTCACCATACTTAACACAGCAGCATCAAGCTGCTATTTAACGCTGGTATTCTGTGAAGCATGGTCCTACCCCGGTCAACCCTCTACCACATTGATAATTGTGTACTTTAAAATATTTAAATGTGTTTTAAATATATTATAATCTTAATTTTACAGATATTCTGAAATTCCCAAAGAATGGGAACCACCAGCACCTCAACCGTTTAAGGTGCAGTCTGATCTACAATGGTATCTTATGGATCCTGATGCATATGACCAATTTTTGGTTGGTATTGGTACGGGGGTTGCCCTTCAAGTTTGGCAGAATGCTTTGCCAGAGCCTGTGTTGTTACAGGAGAGGCCGGTAAGCTTAAATATATAAATTAAAAAAAAATATTACAGTTGTTGTGTTGAAATTAATTAATTGTTATGGGAAATCTGGATCAACTGTGGTTAGTCTGACTGCATAAAAACTAAAATTAGGGGTTTATGGGCTAAAAAAAGAATTATAGCTATTAAAACCACTTCTATTACACATCAAGTTGCTGGATAATAAACAGATAATTATTAATGAACATTGATAATTTGCAACTCTGGTCTGAACAGAGATGAGCCTCTACCATAGCATGGTGAGTGTACAGGAATCATCATTCTTTTAATAAGAATGAGCAAATTAAAGTACTATGAGTTATATTAGGTTGTAGGATGACTTTTCTGTCTAGGATTCCATCTGGGTAGGTATTGCCCTCTTATTTATTTATTTATTCTTTATTGCATTTCTTAAAACAAAAGAATACAAAGGGCGGAGTTGATGCCTTGAGGCATTCTCTACCAGTCAACCCATGGAGTGGTGAGAATTTGACGTAGGTGCGGCAATATAGAATAAAATAACACTACACAAAATGATAATTAACTACATAATACATACAATTTACTAATAAATAAACTAAACATATATGACATGTATATACAAATATATACAAACTAATATACATATTTAAATATATATATATATATATACATATAAAAATATATATATATATATATATATATATATACATATTTAAATATATATATATATATATATATACATATTTAAATATTTATATATATATATATATATATATATATATATATATATATATATATATATATATATATATATATATCGCCTCTTTACAAGAACAACGTGATATTTTTTAAACCACAACTTTACAGGAGAGCAATTTTAAACATTTAAGCGTTGATAACTTCTAAAATATTGATTATTTTTCCGTCGGAAAACAATTAAATTGTTGCGGTAATTAATGTGCTTTCTGAAAATAAGCAAAAAAAACTCAGTGCAATAAGAAATAAGTACAAAAACTGATTTGAAAAAACCGAGGCAAACATGTCACGTTTTTGATGAAAATTTGTCACAAAATGCTTGTAACATATTGATATACCACATTGAAGATGTTAAATTTTGGTGTAATGCTGTGTGATAAGTTAAATAAAACACAGTATCAAAATAAAGTTCTTGTATTTAAAAAATACAAATTTACGAAAACAATGGCTTACTTACACCATGAAATTAGTTTAAGGCACCATAATCAATAAGAGATCAATCAATCACATAGTACTTAGTACTCGTTTTAATTAAAATTATAAAGTAACTAAAAAACTACTTTCATACAAATAAAAAAATCAAACAGTTAACTGTACTTAAAGTTATAGTAATTAACGTCTTCTAACACAATTATGGCACACAGTTTTATAGAACTTAGAAATTCAAAATAGGAACATTTCTGTCACCCTTCATAAACATAGAATCACAAATTCTCTTAATACTAATAAAAATACTATCATTTTAAATGTACCAATGAAATATTTCTAAAAAATACAATTCAAAAAATCTTTGTACTTAATCAGTCTTATTACAACGATTCGTAAAATGGCTTGTGGTATCTAGGAATGAGGTTTTTATTGACCAAATCCATGAGATCAGCTTTTTTTCTCTCTGCTAGTCCAGGTTTTTGAAGATAGGCCTTTTGCAAATCTAAATTAATGCTTTGGCTATTACGATTTCTATTTTTTTTCACCACTATAGCTTTCTTGAATAATTCGTCAGCGTATGATTCTTTGAAAAATATGGCATCGGGATCAGAGCTTTGAACTTTAATCATCTTCAGTCCAGCCAGTTTCACAGTATTATTGTCTTCATCTTTCATTATCGCAAAGTTCATTTGAGTGCATATACTTTTCCAATTAAAAAAATCATCGAAACACATTTCATTGACATGAAATGGCTCGCCTCTTTTCCGTGCCGCCTTTATAGCCCCGATAAAAGCGTCAGGTGTATACAGTGGTCCTGATCTCAGTTGCCTTTTAACTTCTCTCTCTATTTGAGAGTGAGATGAATCGCCCTCGTTCTGCGTATGTCCTTTAACGAGGTATTTGTGTGTAATTGATCTGAGATTTGGCAGAGTTTTGACTGCGTAAGTGTACATTGAGATCATAAACTTATTTTTTTGCTGTCCAGCACAATTGTCCGAATAAAAGACTACATCGAGGTCTTCAGCCGTTGTGGAAATTTTCTCCAGATATTTGTAAACACAGGTAGCTATTTCGTTGACACCTCTATTTGCGTTAGACTCATCCCATACATAACTCTCAACTGAATTATTTTGTAAGTTATAAATTGTTAAATTAAGTACATTTAGTTTTGACTTGTAGTAAAAAACTGAGACGTCTCCTTTGGGGCATTGGAACATTGCTTGAAGATCATAGACCGCTACTAAAATATTTTTGTTGTTCTTATCTTTTTCTTTTTCAATACGAGACAAATTCTTTTCCTTAAGGTGTAATTCATAATCTTGTTTCTTAGATTCTTTCTCTTCATCTGTGATGTTTTTATAGGCTTCGCATATATCGCATAAATCCTTTTTAGGAGTGAAAAACGAAATGTTAAAATCTTGTGTGAAAATACGATAAAATGTAATGTAGGTTCCATATGGGACGTTTTGGGATTTGCATTTTTCCACATAATCTCTATGAAGATCTGTGACAGCTTTACTACCATCAATATAATTTCGTTTTGAGTTAGCCCGGATATAATGTGACTCAATCTTCGGTATAGACTCAATAAATAATTTGATGCCATTTTTAATGCTTTCGTCCACTGCATAATGGTTTGAATGAGTACCTCGGTTATCTTTCATGGAAGAAATATTAGTGTTGCTATTTTTCTTTTTCAAAGCAGTCTCTATAGGTCGATTATTAATCCCCAAAGTATTTTTGAAAAACAATTTACAAACTCTTGTTTTTTCACCCGAAATAGTCAAAAAGAAAGCGTTGTTGTTGTTTCTAATAGTTGCAACATTTCCATCTGAATCGACTTTAACGTAACGTTGTTTTGGGATGATTATGTCTACGCTATTAGCAATAAACGTCCATTGTTTTTCTATTGCACCTAAGCTCCAATAGTCATTTAAAATTGTCTGTCTTTGCTCCTCTGTAAATTTAAACCCACATTTAAATTTACATTTATCTTTACAAGAAGGTTTCAATTCACGACTTGGCATGTTTCTTTTTGATTTGGTAGATTGATAAGGCTTACCACTATTTCTCAGTCGTTTAGCTACATTGACTTTCCAGTTTGCTTCATTTAGTCTTCTTTTTTTACCAGTTTTAGTTGGACTAGAATTATACACTATTGGACTTGCAGCATTTCCGTTGCTTACGTTTTCAATTGCAGAAAGTTCACTGTTCTCTATGACACCAGGATCGTTGAATACCATAGCATGTTCGTTTGTAGACGAAAGTGGTTCCTTGTAGTTTTCAATGTTTATTGAAACCATATTCGATGTTACCAAATTTTGATCATCCGAAATATTTGTATAGTTGGTAGTGATATTTTGTTCCTCGGCAGTATCAGAAGAATACTCATCATGTTTTGTTGGTTGGGCTTCATAATCAGGATCATTTACCGAGTCGTCGCTGTCTGAAACGTTATAAATGTAATCAATTTCTTGAAGTGTGGTGGTGTGGTATTGACTTTATCAATTACCCTCGAATTTTGTGAGACTAGTGGGATATAAATTAACTTACCTTGATACATAGATGGGCCACTGCTTGAAGAACTGCTAGAACCCGAAGAACTGCTAGAACCCGAAGAACTGCTAGAACTAGAGGAACCGCTGCTACTAGTCGTATTACTACGAGGTCGGATGGAATTTACAGTGATGTCTTTGTCTACAAAGAGAATTGAATTAATGAAATTATAGGAAAATAACTAAAAATAAATATCAGTACAAGTAATAAAATACCTTCTTTTGATGTCTGCAATGTATTGGTCGAACTTTTGGCATTTTCATTCTCGTCTTGTGTTAAAATATCTATCTGAGAGTTTGAATCACTTAGTTGTACACTTAAATTATTTTTAACACCTGTAGCTAATTGAACTAACATCCTAGATCGTGATGCCATCTGAAAAACAAATTCGTAAAAGTTACTTTATTTTAGCATGTATAATGTAACATTTTAGCATAATATAAACCCAAACTTAAAGGTTTTCAAAAATAATGATGTAAAATAAAATTAGTACTATCACGTTATTCAAGTTAAAGTAAATAACAACAAGAAACATACCTTTGCACTAAAAACGTGGTATACTCGTGATGCCACGTTTTTTGTGAAAAGCAGGAGCACTTCACTCGTTCTGCGTGCGGGGCAAACTAACGCGTCGCGTTGTCGAAGTCGTGCGCCACACCGAAAGAGACAACGTGATAACGCCATTTGCCACGGTCGTGTCGTCTCTTTCACTAATGGCTCCTTGACCATTCTCTTTTAAAATGCCGCGTTTTTGTAGATAATAAAATTCGACATCGCGGTTTTGAATATCAAATAATAAAAAAATACGTTTTTATGAGATGTCACGTTGTTCTTGTAAAGAGGCGATATATATATAATTAGTACATACAAATACCTATGAATATATGCATCTATTTAGCAATACATATTAAATGGATGAATCATGTAAAATCTATTTCTGGTGCCAACTAGCAGTGCCTGCATTGCTGTGTTCTCTGGAGGTCTCTGTGGCCTGAAGGGTATAATTAAGAGCTGGTATAATTACAGACTGTTAGACTCCTCAGAGGTGACAACATATCTTATCCTTCCTTGTTTAAAGTTGTTTGCAGGTGCATTTACCGTTAGGTTGACAGTAAGGTTGTTAATCATTAAATTTTATAAAAAAAATTAACGTGGTAGATCCATGCTGAAGCTATATCAATAGTATAATTCTAGCACGAATGGGTCTGCTCGACCCCGGAAGGACCACGCTTTCACAGAATATTAGCGTAAAATAGCAGCTTAATGCTGCTGTGTTCGTATGGTGAGTGTAGAGAACCGGAGAGAGACCCTTTTTACTGGGAAAGAGGCATTCCATCTTAGTCCTCAAGGTTGACAACGCATCTGCATTTTGATTCACAAACGAGGATAGATGTAGATGTCTATGGGCCTCAGCAACCACTTACCATCAGGTGGACTGTGTGCTTGTTTGTCACCCATATTCTATATAAAAAAAAAAAAGAAATTTCAAAGCTGGTCTCCAAATAGGTCTGAATTTTTCACACACTGTCATAACTGTCACTGTTGTCAAGCCTGTACTTATTTAATAAAATTAAAGCAAGGATTGGATACAGAGTTGGAAAGCTGGTGAAAATAACAGTAGATCTAAAAATAGTAATTTGTTTAAAAAACCCAATGTACCTATGTAAACATGATCTTTAGAAAATGTTTAATAATAAAAACAAACTTATTACTTATTCTCGCTTTTCTAGAACTGGACTGAAACTTATGCTGTTTGGTCACCTCTCGGTACATACTTGGCAACCTTTCACTGGAGGGGTGTGGCATTATGGGCTGGTCCTAAATTCTCCCAATTTCAAAAGTTTTACCACCCAGAGGCGAGGTTTATCTCCTTCTCTCCATGTGAGAATTACATTGTCACTTTCTCACCTAGCAGTGATAGAGGTGATGACAAGAAGCTCATAATCTGGGATATCAGGTTGGTTTTTATTTCTTATGTAAAATCTTATAAACATATATTAGACTTACTCATTTTCGGCAAAAGTTCTGAGGATTAATAACTAAGATTTTTTTATTTCCCAAATATTGACTACATTTAGAATAAGTAATTTTTTTTTGTATAAAGTCTTTTTTTACTGAGACTAAAAAAAATTACCATTGTTTTATATTCATAATTAAATATCTTGGTATATTATCATATCTGTATTTTAAATAATTTTTGTTTAATATGTTTAAATGAAATGTTTAAAATATTTATTTTAGGACTGGCCAAGAAAAACGTAGTTTCCCTCCACCTGATGAGTATGTTACTTGGCCAATATTCCGATGGAGCAAAGATGACAAGTTCTTCGCTCGGCTTGGTGCTGATGTATTATCTGTGTATGAAACCCCTGGTTTTGGTCTTCTTGATAAAAAATCCATAAAGATTCCTGGTATAAGGTAAAATGAAGTTCTTTTTTTTAATTTGCTTTTTTACCAAAATTGGCTATTAATCAATGCAAATTTCCAAAAAAGAAATGAATTTCTTAAAACAAATATTATTTTATTATAATAATAATCTTATAATCAAACATAATTACTTTTCAATGTTATTTATAATTGCAACACTGATAAAAAATTATAATAATTTTTTTATTAGTGTGGCAATACAATAGATATATTTTTTGTTCCTTAATCAACAATTGTATTTTACAGGGATTTCAGTTGGTCGCCAACAGACAATGTTCTGGCCTATTGGGTGGCTGAAGACAAAGATGTACCGGCTAGAGTCACATTATTAGAGTTACCAAACCGTACTGAAATTCGTTCAAAGAACTTGTTCTCTGTTGCTGACTGCAAGATTCACTGGCAGAAGAGTGGTGACTACCTTTGTGTAAAAGTTGACCGTTATTCTAAAGTAAAGAAGGATAAAAATGATATTAAATACTCTGGAATGTATTATAACTTTGAGATATTCCATATGCGTGAGAAAGAGATACCTGTTGACTCTGTAGAGATTAAAGAACCTATCCAGGCATTTGCTTGGGAACCAGTTGGATCCAAATTTGCTATCATCCATGGCGACCCAGCCAATATTTGCATAAGTTTCTACCAAGTCAACACTGGTCAGGCGCCGACCTTATTGAAGAAGTTTGAAAATAAACCGTTCAATCACCTCTTCTGGTCACCATTAGGACAGTTCATAGTGTTGGCTAACTTTGGGCTCACTGGTGGGGCATTAGAGTTCTTAGACACCAACGACTTCACTATTATGAATGTTTCTGACCATTATCAGGTATGTAATATTTTGACGTTTCAATGAAGTTTTGTGAAAATCTTAATAAAAGCTTGATATGTATCAAACATAATGGTAGGTTTAGATTGTATAAACTTTGTAAAATCTCTTCTACTTTATGGCCTTCAATGACTACTGTTAGACCAGTATAATTATGATATAACAGGTTGTGACATTCAGTCTAAATCTTAGAGTGAACAAACCAAAAGCTAACTTTCTTTATATTTTGGTCAGATGTTCAAAGGTGGTAACCATATAATTAACATTAATTATAAATTTCTTATATTTTCTTTATTGAACACTTTTACACCTTCACATGGTATTAAGAAACAAAGCCCGGACTGATAGTAAAAAATCTATACAAAAATCCTATGCTGAAATCCTACAGACTGGCAATGAGCAACTGTGTTAAAAGGATATTCATGTGGCGTTTAGGCCATACAAACGTATTATTCCTCTGTTTTCTTCCTGAAGGGTTACCAAGTATTATCTTACAATACAATCTGTCATATCAACCTCTGCAATATTTCTATTTTTTCTATGAATTAAGTTTTTCTAAAAAGTCATTTAAAATTGGTCCAGTTGTGGAGAAGAAACAGGATCATTTCGTAAATTATTATAAGTATATTTAGTCCAAGAAGTTGTCTAGCTCGGTCATTCCTGTATATTGCGAAAGTAATAGGTTTTTAAAACCTTTTCTTTAAATTGTTTGCAGTATTTTCCAATAGTACAATAAATTAAAAATAATTGTTTTGAGTGTGGATGTGTCCTTGTGCAATTTGTGTTTGTAGATTGCTTCCACGATACAGGAGAAAATCCTAGTGTGGGGGTAAGGATTTTTTTTTAAAATAAGTATTTTTTTTATTTATAAGTATATTTTCCAATATTCTCTTAAGAGTTGTGAAGGGATAGGATCCTCACCACAAACCACTTGGAAGGCTATCTGAAATCTGGAATATTTTTTAATTTTCTTATGCCTTTGTCCAGAAGTAGACTTAAGAATTGACAATGGATATGATATGATATACAATGTTAATTATTTCACAGATGTCTGGTATTGAGTGGGATCCAACGGGTCGATATGTAGTGACGGGCGTGTCGTCGCTCAAATGCAAGATGGATTGTGGATACTACATACGATCCTTCCAGGGCAAGGTTCTCAAAAGGTAGGTGTGATGTGTTGTGTATTTTTTTTTACTGCCTGACACTTTCAGTTGAATAGTTTCACACTTCCTGAAAGAAAATAGCAAAAAATACACATTAGTAATGTTTGTCAGATGGTGGATTAAAAAAAAATAGAGTAATTTATAGGAAGCCATGAGTTTTTTCTGATCTTTTATATACATATTATGTGCAAAAATATTGATAGATTTCAGGCCTAGATTTGTTGTTTACTATGTTTTTGACACTATTTGAAAACATCTCATCATCTATCGCAAAGTAGTGATGAAATGGGGACTGGTGGTAGTAGGATAGGACAATAATGTAATGGATGTTTTTTTATGAAGTTAATGAGAAGCATCTACTTTCTTTGTTTGTATGGCCTCTTTTAGTATAAATAATTTATCCAGTTATGGTAGTGAACTATTAAAAAGCCATATCACGTCACGTCTCGTCACGTAATGTTACGCGTTTTTGTGAGTGCGTGTCACGCCATAAACTAAGCAAAACGCGGGATTGCTGGGTAATATTAAGTAAATGAATTATGGAAATTATTAATTCGGGTATAAATTATTACAGAGTGATGAAAGAAGGATTTGCTCAATTCCACTGGCGACCTCGCCCACCCACTCTGCTCTCGGAGAAACAGCAAAAAGAAATAAAGAAGAACCTTAAGAAGTATTATTCACAATTCGAATCTAAAGACCGCATGCGCAGCAACAAGGCCAGCAAGGTAATGAATGATATTGTTTAGTTTTAGTTTACAAATATTGCTTATTATTATTTCAATCAAAACAGAGTATATGAAAATTGCCTTATGATTTGCCTTGTCTAATAATAGGCTCCCATATTCCAGAAACTCTTTTATCCCCCACTGCGATTTGTTTTAATATAATATAAGAAGTGCATGTAAAAACAGTGTGTAGTAAATATTATGTAGCTGAACCAGTATTTTGAAATGGTTTTTCCATCAATGTTGTGCTTTATAAAACAGGTTTTGTGCTGTAAGGGAATTGGCAACATCCTATTAAACATCCATATCAAAAAATCAACCATATATGCTATTGCTTAAATAAAGACTGCCACTAAGATTAGTACAGCCATATGGTTATCTAGTAATTTTTGAAGTCTGTCTAGATACCACCTATTTTATCTTTCTGTCGCTATGCATCAGTAGTACCATGCACTGCTGCATTCTGGCTTGAAGAAAATGGAGAGCCTTTATAATTACAGGCTCTATGGCATTCCATTTTCATCTTTGGAGGGCGACAATGCACTTCTTTGCTGCAGGGTTTGTGGGCTACTATAGCCACTTACTATTAAATGGACCCTTACATTATGCAGTTTTTTTAAGAAGGGTATATAGCAAGCACACTTCAACTGATGTGGTAGCTATAGAAGCTACATCTAACCAAGTTTTGAGGACTAAGATGGAATAGTTTTCATCCTTCTCCATATGTAATACAACAGTATTAACCTGTTATTCCGGCTTATATTCCAACCATAGGCTGCAGCTCAAACGGTTCGAAGCAACCGGCGAAATTAGCTCGCACTGACTTTGTGCTGCTCCCAAAAAAACTCCATTGTGACTTCCACATTGTAATTAATAATGTAATTAAATACTTTAATGTATATTAATAAAATATTTTGCTCATAATGGAGATTAGAGTTACCGTGTAGTGGTAGTATAAGAATATCCACTACCCCATATTGTCCCGTAGGTGTCTTAAGTGGCGACAGAGGGAAATTGAAATAGGTGACGGGCAGCAGTGTCTTCCTGAAAACAACTCAAAATAATAAAAAAAAACTGCAGTTGCTAATCCGCCTGCCAAGTGTGGCAACTACGGCAAAATGCGCCTATGAGGCAATCTATGAGGGAGGCCTATGTTCAGCAGTGGACTTTTAAATCCTGTAATGGTAATTAATGGAGATTGCAGCATGGATTGGAGCAAATCTTCTTTACTATGGGAATCACAATGGGTTATACATATCCGCTGCTGTGAAAAAGTGATTAGGATATTGTAAGTTTGCTTCAGTGAATTTTTGACATTCTGGAATTTCCCATAATTGCCTCTTATCCACGGATCAGAACAGTATGATGAATTCTCTTATGACACCAACACATGTCTGATACTGTGATTGTCAAATCTCCTGCCAGGGGTGAGAATTAATGCATATCCCCCTACAATAGGAAAGGCCCATGTCCAGCCGTGGTCTGTTATTGACTGATGATAAAGTAGAGTATATTTATTATATTATCTATTGTAATAAATCCTGTGCTGCTTAAACTTCCACATAGTATATTTGGAATTAATCTCTATGGCCAAATAAATCTATAAATTAGTCACTATTATGAGTAAAACTGTTTATAATACAGTCTTGTTGTTCGTATTTTAGGAATTGGTTGCCAAACGCACTGAGCAGATGAAGAAATATGTGGAGTATAGGGAGGCGAAGAAACAAGAATGGACCGAGCAGAAACCGCGCCGATTGGAGCTTCGAAATTGTAAGTATATTTTCATAAAACAGTTCTCTTACGTCGAGAAAATGAAGACATTTCTTATCTATCTATACAAATAAATAAAATTGAAGTGTCTGTTTGTAATATCAAAATAACAGCTGTTTACTAGCAGCGGTACTTAAAACATAAACACAATTTTTAAAATTTTTGTCTGTCTGTTTGTTCGTCCGTCTCTCTGTTTGTTCCGGATAATCTCCGAAGTGGCTGGACCCATTTTGACGGGACTTTCACTCTCAGATAGCTGATATTATAAGGAGTAACTTAGGCTACTTTTATTTTAGAAAAATAATTAGGGTTCCGCGCAAAAAAATTAAAACCCTTAATTGAACGCGGGCAAAGTCCCGCGACAGCTAATCTTATCAATAAAAAATTACATATCACAACGTCGCTCCGATTTGTCAGGCTATCTGACTTCTATCACACGCAGCTGATGTCCACAATATCATCAGAATAGTGACGCTTAGCTCTTGGATCTCTATTTACATTTTGTGCACAACTTTACACATTGTGGTTTAAAAAATAAATTCAACGATGATGCCACAGATGTTCATAGAATGGTACCATTCAAAATATTTAATGGCCTATTCAGACTCTCTCCAAGTAAGACCACTTGAGAAACGTGATTATGAGTAGTTTCTTGCAGTTTCAATCTCGGTTTGTTTACTAGATTAATGAGTGGTTCTCGGGCGAATAAAGAGAAATCTATCTCATTCTTGTTTGGACTCGACTCAGTGCGATGAAAACGGTGGAGTATTATTTTGAAGAAATGAAATTACAAACCTGTTCTGTTTTGATGAATTTGCGTCATTCACCATCGTCTTTCTTACTTTAATTTTAAATTTTCAAAAATATGATGGTAATACACATGTTTTTATACATTTTTTTCAGACGTTGATACGGACGGTCTCGACACGGACCAAGCGAATACAGTGGAGGAAATCGTTGAATTCTTTGTGAAAGAGGAACAGACCGTTATCGAGTAGTCACCATACCAGCCATTGTTTGAGGTCGGAGTGACCCTCTGACCTCTTTGCCGGTTTGCATAAAGCAGCGTTTTTAATAAACAGACATCAGTATCAACAGTTTTTTTTGTATCTTCACCCCATCTTTTATATATTTAGTCACAAATTACCATTTTATACAATATAATTCCAATATGTTCAGTGTAAGATTTGGTTTTATAAATTATACAATAGGTAATGTTTATAGAACTCATATTAAAGTGATATGTTTCAAATGGAAAATGGCTTTTTATACATACCTGTGTTGTAATTTTCATTTAGACAATAAATGATTATGTCATTTACTTATTATGCTCATTATCAAGGAAGCCCACATATTGTGACGGGCAACTACGGAATCCTACCTATACATTGTGCGTGGCCCGACACGCCCTTGGCCAGTTTTTACTAACTAGGAACACTCACGCGGCCTAGCACTCCACTACTACATTTAAAATAAAATAATTACTGTTTAAATCAATGGTTCTGTGAGTAGAACGCATACGAAACAATACAAACAAAACAAACAATTTTTACAAAACGTGGTTTATTATTATAGTCTCTGTCTCGGATAGTCCCGGGCTTAAATTATGGCCTTTGGCTATATTATACACGTCTAAATGGATAAACACGTTCGAATAAAGGTGATCCGTACCCCGTACAACTTGGCCGGTAACGATCTCGCACCTGGCAGTATACTAACTTGTACATACTTGTGGCAGCAGTAGTAGTATTAGTAATAGATAGATGTCCCTAATGAGGTGTAATAATCTTACGCTTACCAGCATTTTGATTCTTAATCGAGAATAGATGTGTATGGGCCACAGCATCCACTTACTATCAGGTGGACTGTGTGCTTGCCTGTGGGTGTTAGTTAACCTTGATTCTACAAAAAAGTGCATCATGAGATAAAATTACTATAGGTATAAATTACTAATTAAGGGAGAGGACTAGAACGTAGTGTTTTATAATATCTTTTTTTGTTTTTATAAGGTACTCTTAAGAAATTAAGTGCGTAGTTTTATGCTTTTAATACATCATCATCATCATCATCATTACAGCCCTTCACAAGTCCACTGCTGAACATAGGCCTCCCCCAAAGAATGCCACAAAGCACGGTCCTGAGCCACCTGCATCCATCGACTTCCTGCATGTCTTACCAGGTCGTCACTCCATCTCGTGGGGGGACGCCCTACACTTCGCCTACCGGTACGAGACTGCCACTCGAGAACCTTTCTTCCCCATCGGTTGTCGGTTCTTCGAGCTATATGGCCGGCCCATTGCTACTTCAGCTTACTAATCCGTTGGGCTATGTCGGTTACTCTGGTTCTACTGCGGATATCCTCATTCCTAAGTTTATCACGCAGAGAAACTCCGAGCATAGCCCTCTCCATAGCTCGCTGAGCGACCTTGAGCTTCCTCATCCGGCCAGCAGTGAAGGACCACGTCTCAGTTCCGTATGTCATCACTGGTAACACGCACTGGGTGTACAGTCTCGTTTTCAAGGTTTGAGGTATACCTGACGAGAAGATGTGCCGTAATTTCCCGAACGCTGCCCAACCGAGTTGAATCCGTCGATTGACCTCTCGGTCGAAGTTGGACTTACCTAGTCGGACTATTTGTCCCAGGTAAACATACTCGTCAACAACTTCGAGCTTAGTGTTCCCAACAACTACCGGCATAGGTGTGACATGGACATTAAACATGATCTTAGTTTTGTCCATGTTCATCTTAAGACCTATCCGTTGGGAAACACTATTGAGGTCATTGAGCATAGTGCTTAGGTCCTCCAGCGATTTTGCCATAAGGACTATATCGTCGGCAAATCGAAGGTGAGTGATGTACTCGCCATTGATGTCGATACCGTATCCTTTCCAGTCCAGAAGCTTGAAAACGTCTTCCAATGCAGCGGTGAAGAGTTTCGGGGATATGACGTCACCCTGTCTTACACCTCTCTGCAATTGGATAGGTTTCGTACTCTGGTTCTGTACTCGGATAGTCATCGTAGCCCTACTGTACAAGCACTTCAACACTTCGATATACCGACAGTCAACTTGGCATCGCTGAAGGGACTGCAGCACCGTCCAAATTTCGACGGAATCAAAGGCTTTCTCATAGTCCACATACGCCAGACATAGTGGCAAATTGTACTCTTCGGACTTCTGTACAATTTGCCGAAGGGTATGTATGTGGTCTATGGTGCTAAAGCCCTTTCGGAAACCGGCTTGTTCGGGAGGCTGGAAGTCGTCAAGTCTGCGCGCAAGACGATTCGTAATGACTCGAAAACAGCACGTAGACGCGGCTCAGAAGGGAAATCGGTCTGTAGTTCTTCAAGAGAGCGTTGTCACTTTTCTTAAAGAACAAGACCACCGCACTTCTGCTCCACGCCTCCGGTGTAATGCCACCATGGAGGACGGAATTAAAGAGCCTCTGAAGGACTTCAAGTACCGGTTTTCCACCCGCTTTCAGAAGCTCCGCTGTAATTCCATCCTCGCCTGGGGCCTTACCGTTTTTAAGGTGCTGGAGAGCCATTCTAATCTCGCTCAGACTGACGTTCGGGTATCTTTGGAATAGTGTCGGATGAGACTCGCTCTTGATACACTGTAGTTTTATTTCCAAGAACAGTACACCTAAATCAATTTAGTAACTTCATTTACAGTGAACTATTTATAATATAAACAGGTCATTAGTGTTATGAATGAAGCATATTTTTATGTTCTAATCAATCGTTTCAGCATATTGTATTCATATTTCTATCATAACGTGAATATGAATTTGTGAAATGAAGATAAAAATTATTTAATAAAAACAGATCGTAATTATCGTAGAGACTAAGGCTCGCCACATACATACGGAATTACGTTTCGAGATTCCGTTTCGATATTCCGATTCGGAATCCCGAACGCAGCAAGTCCATATAAAATCTATGACCCGCCACACACGTACGGTAGTTTTCCGTTCGATATTTTGCGGGCAAAACGGGATTTCGTTTGTGTGTGACCTACCGCGGGCCTAAAAGTAACAAATACGGAACTGTTTAGGCATCAGTAGCGGCGTTAAGGCTGGGCGAGTTGGGCGACCGCCCAAGGGCGCTAGACACAGACGTAAAGAGGGGCGCTGAACGCGAAAAGTAAAAGTGAAGGCGAAAAATTCCGAAATTATATACGCAAGCCCAAAAAATCCAAATACTACGTGATTATAGCTGACTGCACCATAGATACTCGTATTAGTCATGTAAAATCTAAATCTAAAATCGCCAAGGATCACGATTTCTGCGGATGGGATCTGCCGTAGCAAGGAATCCGTAGCCATTTGGACGTGGTCCATGAGTCGGTCTGTTTCGGCATTACCGCTATGGGACCTATAGAGACACCCGTAGACGCGGGGATGGTCGTAGCTGTCTACGTGCAGCCATAGGTAGGACAGGTCCGTACTTTCAAGACTGCCGGAGCGTCGAAAACAGATATCCTCTTTGACGTATTTTTTTTTTATATTCTACTAAGCCAGCGCTTATCTACGATCCCACCTGATGGTAAGTGGTGATGTAGCCTAAGATTGTGAAGCGCACTGACTTAACAAAAGCCTATTCACTCTTGCCTTGAAGACACCCACACTGTAATCGAATGTAAAGAGAGATGCTGGTAACTTATTCCACTCTTTTGCTGTACGCATGATGAACAACGTGGCGAACCGTTTGGTTCGAATGCGTGGTAAGTCAACAATGAAAGGGTGGAGACTGGTCGAACGTCGGTTGTCCGATGGTGAAAGGGAGAGGGGGGAATTAAATTATGTAATTCCTGCGCACATTCTCCAAAATGCATCTTGTAGAAAACGGAAAGGCTGGCTACTTTACGTGTGTTCGAGGCTGGTAAGATTGGTTTTAACCGAATTCAGGTCACCAATAAGCCTTTTAGCACGCCATTCCATTGAATCCAGAGCTGCTAGGTGGCATTTTGCAGCACCAGTCCATATATGGCAGCAATACTCTATGCACGACCGAACTTGCGCTTTATATAAAGTAAGCAGCTGTCCCGGCGTGAAGTATCGCCGCACCTTTGCAAGGACTCCCGGCTTCCTTGCAGCTGCTTTGGTCTTGGACTCAATGAACCGCCTGAAGTTCAAATTAGAGGATATTTCAAACCCTAACAACTGAAGGCGGTCGGTATATTTCAGTGATACATTTTGGAAAGAAGGAGCCAAGGTGAGCTGGCTCCTTTTTGCAGTGAAGAGACACGCTTGTGTTTTGGAGGCGTTGGCAATGGCAAACTTCACAAGATTGCCATTACCCCAATCGGAGACTGTCTGCAGTGTGAGATTCACACGCTCTACCATAGCTTCTCTTTCGGACTGGATTTGATCCCGACTGGCCCGAGGACTTTGTTGGTATCTCTCAACAACTGTGCTATCGTCTGCATACCCATAGATACCGGGCATAAGCAGATCATTAATATGCAGCAGGAAGAGAGTTGCGGAGAGAACGGACCCGGAGAGACAGTTCACTCAGAAAGTCCTTTACCCATTCAATCAGACCAGGGGATAAGCCATACGCTGGAAGCTTACCCAAAAGACTAGTGTGCCAAACTCTGTCAAAGGCCTTCGAGACATCAAGAGAAACAGCAAGTGCTTCCCCACTGTTCTCGAGTGCCTCGCCCCATACGTGTGTGGCATACGCTAGAAGGTCCCCAGCTGACCGATTTCGGCGAAACCCATACTGCCGGTCACTAAGGAGGTCATTCTGTTCTAGGTATGCCATTAAGCGGGCATTCAATATGCGCTCCATAATCTTGCAGAGTATGGAGGTAATTGAGATTGGCCGATAATTGGCAGGGTCGGCGTGGCTGCCTTTTTTTGGAACAGGCTGCACGTTGGCCAGCTTCCAGGATTTTGGCACTATTCTAGTACTAAATGAGAGGCGGACCAAGCGTGTCAACACAGGAGACAACTCAGATACACAAGCGTTTAGGACTATAGCTGGTATACTA